TTATGTAAAAGTTATAATATATTAATACGAAAAAAAATATTTAGATTCATCCATCTGGTAATGTAATCGATTTGGAAACAAGTGATAAACAACATATTGTTGTACGTTTATCAGAACGTGTATGTAGAATTTTTTTCTTTTTTGTTTTTATAATAAGTTTTTATATTAAGGTCGATGTAAATGTTGGTAGTATTATTGAAGTACTTGGAAATGTTGATAATCGAAATCAAATTGTTTGTGATACTATTATTACATTTGAACCTGAACAAACGGCTAATTTTGGTAAGCAAAAAAACAAATATAAAACTTATATAATTTAAAAGAATATTTATTTAGATATGGATATGTATAATCAAGCTGTTATGCTTTTTCAACATTATCCTCAAGACTATCTTGTTAATCTTTAAGACTTGTAAAAAATTTAAAAAAAAATATCAGATGTTTCTTGTTAGATAAAAAAAAAAGAAATAAAGTTAGATATTCATATATATATATATTATTTCAGATGGCTAGTTCATTAATTCGACATTTTGCTCGACCAATTTTAGCAACGAGCAAAGGTTAAAAAAAAAGAAAAGACAGAAAATAAAACGATATTTATTATTGTTTTAAATAATTTAGGATTTGTTTCTGCGGTTGCATATCGAAATATACCTTCAAGTTTAGTATTTCTTTCTCGAACTCAAGCAACAACAACACCATCAGATTCAACAACAAATGTCCCTGCTGGTAAAATTTTTTGTTTTGAATTTATTATCATGATCTATTTATTTTATTTTAGCAAGTCTTATTCGTGTCAATGTTGAACAACGTAAAACTTTAGTTGATTTTGGTCAATATGTTGCTGATTGTTTACCACGTTTTGTACAACATGTACAAATGACATCAACAAATGAACTTGAAATATTAGTTCATCCCGATGGTTTATTTTCTGTTATTGCTTTTCTTAAAGATCATACAAATGCTCAATTTAGTTCATTAGCAGATATTACTGCTATAGATGTACCTTCAAGAACTTATCGATTTGAGGTATATTTATTTTCAAAACAAAAAACATATATAGAGATATTGTAGCAAAATCTGAATATTAGATCGTTGATAGAATTACATTGAAAAACAATGAATCAGCAATTTGACTTTACAGAGTGTCCAATACAAAATATTTCACAAGATACAGTAAAAATTTTGTTGTATTTACGTATCCTTTCTTTTCCTATACGATGAAAATTCTTTTCTTATTTGATCAATTAAATAATAATAGTTTATAACTTCATCTCATTGTTTATTATTAATCATAGTAACCTACACAAAATAATTCCAAATATTGACATCAAGGTTATTATCTATGATTGTTTATAAAAATGTATGAAACGTTTAGATGTCAGACTTTAGAGAACAATATAATCTTTATGAAATCATATTTCATTATGTTTAAATATTATTCGAGATGACAAAAAAAAAGAAAAGCAAAATTAATCGTTTATTAAACAGAATTTTATCTATTTTGATTATTTAAAATCTATTATATATTTTTAATTTAGCTTGCCTACAATTTACTTTCACTTCGTTATAATTCACGTGTTCGTGTTAAAACATATACAGATGAATTAACACCAATAGCAAGTATATGTGATCTTTTTGAAGGAGCCAACTGGATGGAAAGAGAAGTTAGAAAATTAAAATTATTTAATTTTGTATAATATAAATTGAAATATATAGGTTTGGGATATGTATGGAGTTTATTTTACAAATCATCCAGATCTTCGTCGTATTTTAACTGATTATGGTTTTGAAGGTCATCCAATGCGTAAAGATTTTCCACTTCCTGGTTATACAGAAGTTCGTTATGATGAAGAACAAAAACGTGTTGTTATTGAACCAATTGAATTAACACAAGACTATCGTAAATTTGAATTAAGTACACCATGGGAAACATTTCCTAAAGTAAAAAATTTTTCAAACTATACTTGTTTCTTGTTTTTGCTTTATTAAATAAAATTTTTGTTTCTTTCTTAATTAGTTTCGTAATCGACCTCATGATGATTCAAAAAAAAGTCAAGAAACTACAACATCTGAAGTTTCACAAAAACCAACTGGTACTAGTAGTGAAAATAAAAAATAACATGAACATATCCTCAATTCCTTTTTTTTTTGTCTTTCCTGTATATATAGACATCAGTTTTTCTTTTTTTCATTTAAAACAATAAAATTATCTTAGCACTATTATCCCGAAAAATGATTATCTTTGTTTTGGAAGAAAGAACATGACGTCTTGTTTCGTTTTGTTTTTACAGATATTCAAGTATGTTAATATCAACAATTCTTCAAAGAACCGTTTTAAAATCAACATCAATACCAATGATGTTTGTACGATCATATAGAACAAAAGATATGTTACGTCGACGATGTCAAGATTGTTATGTTGTTTGGCGTTATGGACGAATGTATATTGAATGTCCAAAATTTCCACGTCATAAAACAGTATCTAAATTTGCAAAAGAAAAAGGTTGGGGTTGGTTAGATTGGCGATTGGCACCAAAACTTGAACGTATTAAATAGTAGAATTTTGTTTTTATAAATTTTCTTCATATGATTTTGTTTGATATATAAATATATCAAAAATAAACATTGTAGTCTAAGAGATTGAAATATTAATTTTTAATGAAAATTTTAAAAATGAAGAAATTTATCAATATATATATATCATATTTATTCTCTTTATGGATTATCAACAATGTTGAATTCAGTCAAAAATATACTCATAATTCTATACTAGTGTTCCAACTATACTTATCTTTTCTACCACTTCGATGAGAAAAATTTACAATGAATCTAATAATTACTTTGTTTTTATCTTCATCTCTATATGTGTCTTCAAAAATAATAACAATAGTTAGAAAATAACATCAAAGTAACTGTCTATCAAGTATTGTCTAACCAAAACATATATATATAATAGAAATATATAAGACGAAATTTGATGATAATGACGCTCTATGATCTATCCATAGGAGGTTGAAGAAAGAAAATACAAAAAAAGAAGAAGAAGAAGAATAACTTAGATTATTGAGAATAACTAGTTGACTGTTGCAAATTCTAGATTCATTAATCAGACAAATGATGAGACATTGTTTACAGGCATGATTGCACACGTATGTATATATTCATTGTTTTACCATCAGTCGTAGTAGAAAAGAAGAACAGAACAAGCATATTTAATACATAACTTGTTAGTTGATTAATCTTATTGATGTAAAAGAAATGAGTATGTATTTCTTGTGAGAAAGATAAAAATCGAATTTCCATCCGACAGTCTCTTGTGTAAAGTTTCATTGATATGATAGTTGGAAAAATTGACTATTTGGAATTGTACCATATTCTATTTAACCATCTGTTGAAATATTCTCGTTTCTATTTGATCGATTCGAGGTGTGTGTATGTGTATTTATGCGTTAAGAAAAGGAACCTTGTCCCTAAATCTCATTGCTTATTTTTTAATCAATCAATCAATCTATCAACTATTCTTATATAATCACTTTTTTTTTCATAGAATAGAAAAAGATGATGTTCATTCAGTTGTAGAATGAATTACATATGTGTATAAAGAATTCTTATCTATAAAAATAGTCTACAGGTGTTAGACATTGAATAGATTTATCGAGATTATTAGATCAATGGCTGTTATTGATTGGCTTCAAACATCAGAATTTATTCGTCGTAAGATATATATATATATTTGATATAATAAATCTATTTTATTTCTTGATGTTTTTTTTTAATATAGAAAATTCAGAACCTTTTATATTATATTGTTTATGTGGTGGTTTTATTGGTATTACGATTATTTTATTATTGGTTATTATTGTTCTTTATATTGAAAAACGACATAAAAAAAATGATGAATCTAATAAAGTAATGAATGATTATCAAGTACCAAGAAATGATATTGATTATAATGATATTTTATCTAGTACACGTTCTTATTTACCTGTTTATCATTATGATGGACGAACTCATCATGAATTGCATCGTACATAATAATATAAAAGAAATGAAAATACTATCTATTATAGTCAAGTTCCGGTGATTATATATATTTGTTCTATTAGAAATTTAATTATATAATCGCAATGAAAAATTTAATATTGAAAAAATTTTAAAATGAGAAATCAATTTATATTGTTACTGTTTTTTTTTAATGAATAATTATTATTAATTTATTTGAAATGCAAGTTTTTATTTTATTTGAAATCTTTTTTTTTGTTTTTTGGTTTTCTATAATAAAAACATATGCATCATTATTTTTATTCTTTATTTGATATAATTATTCGAAACGATAGACATACTTTTATATTTATATGGTAAGATAGTTCTATAAAATTTAACAATTGATTTTTGTTTTTTGATTCAGTGAAACGAAAAAAAAAAAATATGATCACAGAGAGCTTTATTTTATTGGTAATTACAGAAAATAGAGATGTGTTCGAGTCATACAATAAATTGGCTTGAATTAACATGTCAATATATATTTAAAGACAATATTATACCATAGAATGGTGTAGTTTTGAATAAAATTTTTAATTCGATTATTCTTGACAACGGTAACTAAAATATTGATTATTTTACCTACTCAATTTTTGATTAAGAAAAGATCATTGAATTATATATGTTTCAAGACATTCTTGGTTAGAATAAATATTTTTTTGTTTGTCACTATAAAATAATGAAACAACTATAACTTTCATATAGAAACGAAAGGTAGAAAGAAAAACCTAATTTTTTTTACAAGTATTCGATGTTAATGATGCTATTGAAAATTGAATAAAAAAAAGAAGAAAGAAGAAAAAAAGAATAAGTAAAAAAACAATAGGAATGTCAAAAATTGAAATAAAAAGAAGAATAAAATGAGAAACGACAAAAAAAAAAATCCATCAATAACAATCTCTATTCATTGTAGTAAAAAATAATGTTTCAAATAAAATTTTGATTAATATGATATAATGATGATGATGATGATGATAAATCCAACACTTATTACAAATGATCGATATTCATCAAATAAAATTACTCGAAATAAAGAACAAGTAATTGGAGCAGTTATTATAGCTGAACAATGGAATCATGCTCAAGTATGTAAAAATTTTGACAATCAATAGTAGATCTATGTTTTATTTTTTTTTTGTCATCAAATTTTCTATTCGTTTTCAGCGATGTCAATTAATCGAACGATTATTACCATTATGTAGTACCGGTCAAATTGATATGTTATGGACAGTTTTACAACCTTCATTACATCGTGATTATTTTTATGCTGTTAAATCACGTTATCCAAATTATCATTTCAAACGAATAAGTACACCTGATAGTCGATTTCTTAGAGTATGAAAAAAGAAATATGTTTTTCTTTTTTTTTTATCATATTCATTCATTTATATATGTATATAAAAAAAAACGCATACACATAGGAATGTTATAGTCGATGTTTCGATCGAGAAGATAGCTTCTACCTTAGTACCATCAATGATCTTCGAGAATTTCGTGATGATGATGGTCTTACAAGGAAGTCACAATCATCATTCGCACAGTAAGCGTTTTTTTTTTTCTTCTTTCAAACTGTAGAGAAAACTTCTGTTTCCTCATCATATTTTCTTGGTACATCATAATGATGTTCTGTAGTTGTTGTTTGTCGTGGATAATCATAATGTGATGAATTATTTGTTTGATTCATTGTTGAATAATAACAAGTATTATATTCAGTTGATGTTATTAAATCAGCATTACAACCAATATTTTCTAAAACTTTTCGTATACTATCTGTACGTCGAAGTGATGAACCATGTTGAGCTTGATAAATTTTTGGATCAACACGAAAACAACCAAAATTTTGAATTTCTTGTTTTATTTTAACACGAGGTTGTTCATATTGAAGAATAAGATTATGTTGAATAGGTTGAATTTGTTCAGTTCGTTGATATAGAACACGACGTTCTATTGTTGCTTTATATGGTAACCATTTTTCAATAATTACTGGTCGTGGTTTAGCCGGAAATGGTGATATATGTTTGATAGTAACATGACGTGGTCCACTTGAAGGTAGTGGTAAATTTTTAGTAATAATTTCAGTTGGTTGATATGCTGGTGGTGTTGGTGGTTGTTCACGAACAATTAATGGTGATGGAGTACGAGGTGGTATTGGTCTATAAAATAAATAATAAAAAAGTTTTTCGTTTGATTTTGTTTGAAGAGAAGAAAAAAAAGTCTTACGGTGTTGTTGAAATAATAAGTGATGATGGTTCATCAGGTAGTGTTGTTTGTATTTCACGAATAACAAGAGGTTCAGGTGAAGGTGGTGTAGGTGGTCTTAAATATCGAATACCTATTGTTTGAGTATAAGTTATATCATCTGTATAATTAGTATCATAATTCATATAATATTTTGAATAATCGGATGATAAATGAATTTGATTAAGATGTGGTTCAGATTTTGTAAGATTTTGAAAACTATCATTTACATTTGAATGAAATCGAATTCGACCAGATCTTCTTAGTTTTTGATTATTATCATTGTCATCATCATTTGTTCGATGTTCAATTATAATTCGGTCATTATTTAAACAGTGATTATCACTTGATTTTGAACGTTGTTTTTTAAGTTCTTCTTGTTGTCGATATTTTTCAGGAAAAAGACGAGCAAATGCTGATTGTGGTCCACCTATAAGAGGAGTAGGTCTTAATAGTGTTGTTTTCCAAGATGTTGTTGCTGTTGTTGTCATTTTATTAATTTTTATATGTTCTTCGTTATATAATTTTTATTTTTAGAATATAAAAATGTTGACTATCGTCATTATTTTTTTTTTGTTCTTATAAAATGTTGCTTTCTGTTTGAAGTTATCAAGGTTAAGTTCTCTTCAATAAATAAAATATCATTAAAATAATTACTTTAAACATATATATATGTATTTCTCACTGTGTTCGTTTTTTTTTACTACCTATATGACTTGATTGATTGTAGCAATTATTTAAATGATCATTGAAAATCCATTTGTATGACCATGAAATTATTGAATGAAAGAATATGATCTGTTTGTTTCGCTTGAATGAATATGTATATAGGTCATTTCAGTCAAAAAAAAAGGGATATACCCACCTTTCATTTGGTTTTGATTGTTTACAAGGGGTTATTTTGCTAAATAAGTTCTTCTAGCTTACACATATGTAAAAAAATATTAATTAAAAAGTAATTAGTCGATATTTATCTAAACTTATGAGAAAGTAAACTGCAAGATAGATTGTATAACATGAAAAGCATCTATATGGGGAAATTGCTTTCTCTTAAAAAATGGTGTTCTAACGATCCGAAGCAAAAATTTTTGTCTTACCGTCATCTAAAAGACTTTGTATTTGGTTTTGAACTTTTCATTTAGTTATAATAACGTTTTTCTCAGAATATATCACGTTACTAATGAAAAATCTAGGCGTACCTATGAACAAAGATTTTTGTTTTGAAAAATGTCGTCTCAATTCGGACGATTTTTACTCTGAGCAAAGATCTACTAGTGTTGATTGTTTCAGAGTATTTAAAGTAACTTAATATATAAAAATTAGCTCCAAAAAAGTTCATTTTGCCTTATTATATATGTGCTAATTTTGTAAATTATGTTTGTATAGATATACAGAGAATAAATCATCTTCAGTTTATTGTCCACCAATAAAACAATCAATTCTTGCAAAACATAATGAAAAAAATCGATCTCCATCTCGGTAATTTATTATTAATTAATGTTTATTTTGTATTATTTTTGTTCATGTTCTTTAGAAGCTTTGATACAAGCACTGAAAGTTCAAAAAAACAAAAAAATTCAAGTGAATGTGCATCAAAAACAGGACGATCAGTTACTATACGATGGACGGAACATTCAGTTGGTTCTTCTTCAACTGTTAATAAATTATTTTTCATTTTAAATATGCTTCGTTTTTTTTTGAAAACTATTATTTAATTATAGATATCACATAAAATTGGTTCTGAGCAATTATTAAATTGGTTTACTCATTCTTGGTCAGGTAAGATTAGTTTATTTTTCTAGTTCTAAATAAATATTAGAAATTATTTTATTTTTAAATAGAATCTGAACAAAATGATTTTCTTCGTCGTCTTATTGTTAAATTTGATGAAAGACAACAATATTTTACTTCATGTGCGATCACGGTAACAAAATTTATTCATTTAATTTGAATGTATTTTTTTATTATTTATATAGCAACGTCGTTATCGTGATTTTATTAGTTTATTACCTCGAAAAGTTGTTTTTCAAATATTAAATTATTTAACTCTTGAAGAAGTATCTCGAACTCGTGAAGTATTAAAAAAAAAAAAGAAAATTTTCCTTTGAATTTTTATTTAAAAATTTCATATTCATTTATAAGGTATGTAAAAATTGGAAAACAATTATTGATCGTGAACGTGATCTTTGGAAACCAAAAACTAAATCTAAAAAATTAGAAGGTATAAAATAATCAATTTTTTAAACGTAAATTTATTTCTTTATAGTAAATAAAACCATACAAATTGATTGGGAAAAAATTCATAAACAACGTTTAGCTACAAAACGTAATTGGTTAACAGGAACGGCTCATCTTATCAAATGTGCGGGACATACAGAAAGGTATTGATTTTTATTTTTTTTTTAGGAAATGTTTTGCTATGGATTGTGTTCACGTATTGTTTGCATAACACCTAAACTAACTCTTCGATTATGATGAGGTAAAACATAAATTGGTATATTCTCATCTGTAGTATTCATTGAAAAATCATGTCTATCATCTTCAGTTGCATCGATTGTAACACGAGAAAGTCGTCGTTGTACTGATGCTGAAATATGTGGATGATCAAGTTGTTTTAATGAACGTTTAACATTAATTATTCTTCTTGTTGATTTAGGATTAACATTTATAAAACGTTGTAATAATTTTTGTGCATAATTTTTTGCTTTTATATGATGAACAACAGCTATAAATACATGTATAACAAAAGCAACAGCTAATAATAATGGTGCTAAATGACCAGACCAACTAGCATGATGTGAACCAACAGTTTTTTCACCTAATGTAAATTCATAACATGCATAACGTGGTTTTAATATATTTTCATATTCATCTATAAATGATACACATGAAACATAATCACCTTCATGTAAACCAATAATACGTAAAGAATTTTGCGTATCAATTAAACGTTGTCGTGGAAAATATTCTGTTGAATTATGTATAGCAAATGGACGAAAATCATAATAATAATAACGATATTCTTGAAATGTTGTATTTGATATATTAAAATAAATAATTAACATATCATCACGTTGATTCCATATGTGACCAAAACTTAAATCAAGTTCATTTGGTATACTAATCGTATTTTCTGTTGTAATTAATTGTATATTGAAAACAATAAGATATAATATAATGAAATACATTGAATCAAATTTACTTTTCTTCTCTTTCTTTTGTGTCTATATGTATGTGTTGTTTATGATATGAATGAGATTGATAATGTCATTGATGTTTTTAAATATGCTTTGAAAAGATCATGAATAATAAATGATTCTATCTTTTTTTGTTTTAGGGTTTTATGTATTTGTGGGAATATAACACATTTAGCAACTGGTAGTCTTGATCGAACAGTTAATATATGGTTATTAAATGATGGAAAATTATGTCAAACATTAAGTGGTCATTCAAAAGGTGTTTGGTCTGTTAAATTTCTTTCAACATCGCTTTTAATAAGTGGAGCATATGATGCAACAATAAAAGTATAGATGAATTTTTATGTTTTTGTCAAAATAAAATTGTTGTTGTTGTTGTTTCTTTTTCTTTTTTTTGTATCTATATTTAGATTTGGAATATAAATACAGGTATTTGTCTACGAACACTTTTATCACATAATGGTCCAATATGGTCATTAGCATGTTCGAATGTTTTTTGTTTATCTGGTTCACAAGATCGAACTGTAAATTGAATTGATAAAAAGGAAACAATAAGCTTTACATATCATTAATTTCTTTATGTTTTATAGGCTCGTTTATGGCGTTTACCTAAATGTGAACTTCATGCAACGTTAACTGGTCATACATCAAGTGTATTCGGTGTTGATCTTAATCAAGAACAAAATCTTTGTGCAACAGCTTCAGCTGATAAAGTATTTTAATAGTTTTTATATTTATTTAATAGTATTATTTTTTTTTATAGACAGTTCGATTATGGTCATTAACAACAACTCAATGTATTAAAATTTTATATGCAACAACCGATGATTATATTATGAGTGTATCACTTCAACATGGTTATGTAGCTTATTCATTTGGTGTTCATATTATGATCTATAAAGTTAATGTAACAGAATCACGACCATGTAATGTTCAAAAAATAATGGAAACACATGAACATCGAGGACGGTAATGAATTTCATGTAAATATTTTAATTTTGACTTTTTTTTTTTTTTTTCTTTCTTATTTTAGAATTGAAAGTGTTCAATTAGTATTATTAAGTGATGAAGATAAACAACCATCACTTGTTTCAGCTGGTCAAGATGGTTTAGTTAAATATTGGAATTTTAATAAGTAATTATATCAAATGAAATTGAATAAAACTTATATATGTAATTAATTATTTCCTGTTCTTTTTTTTTAGTATTGCAAGTCAACATACATACAATACACAAAATAATGAAATTGTGAAAATAAATTGTATATATGTTGATCGAAATCATATTGTTACTGTTGGTGATGATTGTTTAGTTAGAATTTTAAATTTTGTACCGCGAAAATATGGAAATTAAATGATTTCTTCTTCTTTTTTCTTTTTGTTTTCTTCTTTGCAATGAAATCATATGATTTTAGAGAATATAATTACAATAAAAGAATTGAAACATTGTTTAATGAACTAAAACAACTTACTTACAAATATTGTTTTTTATTTGAATGATACAGAGTGACATCTGTAGCATTGATTATGAAAGATATTTTTATTTAACTTAAAATAAATAAATTAAGAATGAAGAAATTCAATTTTTTTTCTTTAAAAAATATTCATAAGAAATTATTTTATTAATTAGTTTCTTTTTTACAATCATTTTTACTAGATCCATGAAAGGTTGTTCAATAATCGATTCATTAATTTTCCTTAAAACCTCTCCAATGATGGTTATGACCAACCGAATCCAAAAGAAAGAAAAATAAGCCAGCTCAAAGGCCGCCCGACAAGATCATATACGTAACGGTCGTTTTATATGTGTATTACTATTGTTTTCATACTTCTTTTTTCGTCATTATTGTCTAGTATCATGTAATCTTTTCGTACAGATCATTTTCATTTTCTTCTTCTATTTTTTATTTTCACTTACGCGCGTGTCTCTCTTTACAATATTTATTAGTCTTAGAAAACTATTGAATAACGGATAAATATATGTTAGTCAATCAACATCTAGACTAACCAATGTAAGATGTTAACTATTATTATAGAATATGATTCATTTGCTGGTAAACAGAACATTATCAAACTTTAAAATTTCATCATGTATGAAATTTTAGATCGAAAAAGAAAAGATTGTTTTTTATTTTTATTTGAATCAATAAGTATCAGCTATTCATTCATTTTATCTGTATTTTAGATATAACATATCCTTAATTAATACTTATTTGTCAATAAAAACAAGAAAAAAAAAACAATCAACAAAAATGTCAAACGATGCACGTCAAAAAAATTATAAACATCGTGGTCTTGATAGTGAAGAATTACGTAAAAGACGTGAAGATTTAAATATTACTTTACGTAAACAAAAACGAGAAGAACAGGTTCTAAAATATTCTTTATTTTTATTCTCTTGTAAAATTATTCTATATTTTCTTTTTTAGCTTTTCAAACGACGTAATTTAGCAAGTACAAATGAACCTGAAACTTCAACTCCATTTGGCGTCGCTGGTGCTGGTACTCAACCCACAGGACCTACAGAACCAGTAATAAATCTATTTCAATTTTAAATAGAATTCAACTAATCTTTAGATTAATTAACATTGATGAGTAATATTATTTCGTAAAACTAAACCATACGTATCTTGAAATAAGAAACTTTTCTAGAACTAATTTTTATATGCTAAGACACTCGGAAAAAAAAACAATCATTAGTACCGATATAACACAAAAAACAGGATATGAACTTGCACTTTAGCTAAACATAAACTAAGTATCTATTCATAAGCATGCCTAGAATTTTCGTTAGCAAGATGACGAAGTACGAAATAATCTCTATATAATAGTAAAACATATTTCGGATATCTAGTAAACTGAAATCTGACCTTGCTGAAAATTTCACCTTACGGTTGATACGTCCTGTTTTACTTGATATAGCTTATATATCGAGTGTCATGTGCAGTTAGCATATCTTTCCTTCTTCTCATTAAATATATGTTTATCATGATTTGGAAATTTTTTGTTCATCCACCTACTCTCATTGCAGATCGTGGCAAATAGAATTAATTGTCACGCTTATATAAAGTAGAAAGAAAGGTAAAGTATTTTGTTTAAATCATGATTTTTTTTTAATCGTGTGAACTTGATGTAGATAAGAATGAATAAATGTTTTCTGTTTTATTTAATATGTCACAGGACATTCTTTATTAATCTCATAATGATGTGATGTTTATGAACATTTAATGTAAAGAGAGAGAGAAAGAGAAAGAAAAAAAAACATATTAGGAAATTATTTTTCTTTTTATCGATGAAAGTACATTATGGATTTTTAGGTCATTACAAGTCAAATGGTTGCGGCTTTATTTGGTGACGATCCACAACAAATGCTTGATGCAACAATTCGATTTCGAAAATTACTTTCCAAAGGTTTATATTCGTTTACATAAATTTCTTGATCGAATTTTTTCTTTTTTTTTTTATATAGAACCAAATCCACCTATTGATGAGGTTATTACAGCCGGCATTGTCCCTCGTTTTGTTGAATTATTAAAATTTCAACATTTTCAAATTCAAGTAAGACTTAAAAAAAATAAAATAAAAGTGAATTCTTTTGAATTTAGTTTGAAGCTGCATGGGCTCTTACAAATATTGCATCAGGCAATTCAAGTCAAACAAAATATGTTATTGATGCTGGTGCTGTACCAGTTTTTGTTCAATTGTTAAGCAGTGCAAATGAAGATGTGCAAGAACAAGTAAATTAATTAATTAAACTTTATTTTAATAATTAATTAATTAATAATTATTTTAGGCTGTTTGGGCATTAGGAAATATTGCTGGAGATAGTCCTGATTGCCGTGATTATGTTCTTGATACAGGTGTACTTCAACCATTATTAAAGTAAAATATTTTTTTTTTCATTAAATAATTAATATCGAATAAAAAATTTCTTTTTAGTATTTTTTCACGTAATACACGTTTAACAATGGTACGAAATGCTGTATGGTGTTTATCAAATTTATGTCGAGGAAAAAATCCAGCTGTTGACTTTAAC